AACACTTACCCCCCCACACCCCACACACCCCACAGAGCCCGCGGAAACCAAGCAGACAAGAAAAGCTGCAGAGAGCTGTGTGGGATATTAACGACTAAGCCGAAGTTTTCAAAGAGTGTGCGGAAAAAAAAAAAATGAAAAGGCAAATGTAACCAATGAAGCAATGTCAAGCTGAATTCAAAGAGGAAACATCAAAACCACGTGCGGAGACACGGCCTTCCATGTCACAGATTTCCTGTCACGCTGGGGCCCATTCACTGCGTTCTCCCGAAAACGCAAAGTGCCGAAAGCAAGACCTTGCGATCTCAGAAAAGAGACAGGGCAGGGAAGAGAGTCTCGAGAGGGTTTTGCAAAGACCTTACGAAGTTCTCGCGCATTCGCCCTTCCGAGGGCCCCTTCCGTCCTCTCCCACGGGGCGGCGGCGGCGGCGACGGTGCTGGACTCGAATGACGGACGACAGCCGGCCAGGTGGAAATCGACAACGCGCTCGGCCTCTGCGAGACATCGTCCGGTACCTTCCCTGCCCTTAAAGTGAAATTAGTACAGAGAAGCCAAATTCGACGTGACAAAAAAAGCACGTTCCTTTTGAAGTGAATATCTGGACAGAGGCCCAGGGAGATCAAGAAGGAAATGCCGCATTACACACATGGCAAAGAATGAGGTGATTTCTCTTTCAACACGCCGATGGCAGGCCGACAGGGCAGAGGCTCACGCTGTGACGGCTTCTGCCGTCGCTCACTCACACTGGATGAATCGCATCTAAGTGGGTGAGCTTTTGTTCTAGAATCAAGCTCCGTGGGTGGCAGAAATGGTTCTCGTCTCTTCGTATCTCTTTGGGTCATTCAGCTCAAAGTCCTTGGATGACAAATGGTCCATTTTAGTGCATGATAGAAAAACGCTGCTCCCTCTCCCTTTTGGTTTGGATAACGCAGGTGGGTCTGTGGCCTTTATTATCACTCAATATCTAGGTTCAACCACGTTTTCTAACTCCATGTCCAAATAACAGCTCCGAGGAAGGCCTGCCCAGGTTGGTTCAGCACTATTGCTTCAGAAAGGAGGTCCTATCTAATGCCTTTTTGAATGGTGTATGTAGATCCTACATATTAAAAGGAATTAATCATATCTACGTATTAAAACAGAGCATCATTTTGGCCATTCATGTTCTTTCAAGGTTTGAAACAGAAAAATTCCTCCTCTGAAACATCTTAAGTCTTCTTCTCGAGCTACAAATTCCTATCGAAGGTTGTGGGTGTGTTGGATTTGACCCTGTGACTCTGACAGTCTCTTGTATAGATGAACAATCTCTTCGTTTCATTCCTCTGTTCAATAACTGCCAGAAATGACCTAAATCGATGCTTGTGTACTCTGACCGCTGGAATCATTCAAGCATGTTATCCAATAATAATTTCAATTGAAGATGAATATAATTTGAACTTAATGGTCAAACAATTCTCAGAGCCAGCTGGCTCTCTGATCTCCACAAAAACAAATTTCTAATAGAAAGAAACGTCATCATGAGTCTTAGAACTTAGAAATTAAAAAAATCTGTAAGAAAGGATATGATGGCAAAACCGCCTATGTGACTGTGACAAAGATGACCTGTGGCCTTTGAGACTTAGGTCTGGCCGCTCAAACGGTCTTGGAGAGGATGAGTCTTCTGCAAGGAACGCAGAGCTCGGGCTAACATGGCTGAACACACCAGTAGTGGGTTTTATGAGCCTGAAGGTAATCGCTTGGGTTCAATTGACCAACACACACACACGTATCGTATATGTATAGTGGCTTCCCAAATCTTTCCCTCCAGCCTGGAATTCTCGTGCTGTTGATAGAATTACCCAGGTAAAAATCAGTATCTCCACCTCGATTCCAACGTTCCCAGCTTTGGCACTTGAACTATTCACCTACCAACTTTCCTGTTCAGTCTTCCGATTTCTCGTTGTCGCCTTCCCTGAACCCCGACTGCCCATTTGCAGAGCTCACTGAAAGGAAGGGCCATCTTCACAAGACATGCCCACTCCGTGTTCGAGTGTAAGAGCCCGAAGCTGACCTTCGTCCAGCCCCGAAAACCTCCGCTTTGATCTGAGGCTCTCCCTGCTCCCCACACCATGGCCCCATCCTAATGAGTGTCTTCAGATCTGATCCTCTGAAGCTCCCAGGGTTCTTGGGGCGGTGGGTGGGGGGAAACACCTCCTTCAACCACTGCAGCTTTGCTCTGCTTCGGATACTGACACTTTCATGTAAAAAGAAAAAAAAAAAGGAACTCGATGATTAAACAAGACGGGCGCTTTGAAAAATACTCTGTGAAGGCATCGCGATCTCGTCGTTTCATAGACACGCTTTGGATGTGGAGCCTGGATGTTGAAAGCTGACGTCTGCCCACTGTGGACTTGGTGTCTGAAGTCCCTTCCGACTTGAAGATGCTCAGCCTTCAGACTGTCTCTTGAACTATGGGAACTCTTGGCTCTCCTGGGGTCTCTGGTAATTTGTGCTTCACTCAGACACTCCTGTTTCTCTTCATCTCTAAATTAAATCGCTTTGGCTCCTGGCAGTGGCAGAGGAGATGCCATCGGGCCAGCCATCCTGCAGACAATGACAAACTCTGCATAAAATACGAAGGCCACTACGTGCAGGCGCGCTGGAGGGCAATCAAAAGCAGGTGTATTCCTCCTAAGAGGCATTCGTTAATAAATTACATGACCGTGTGTGAGATAATAGATCGCATTTGCAAACGTTACACAAATCAAGAAGACGTTACTGACACGTCGCATTTTTAAGCCGATATTTAAAGTCCATTGTCACTGGCTCTTTGACTTTATCTCCAGCTTTGCTCAGAACCCACAGCTCCTATCAAACAGGATCTTCCTTGTCCCTAAGTCTAGGTCGCCGGTTCTGGCCTCTTTCCTTTGTTTGTGACACCCCGTAGTTTTCCAATGTCCTCCGCCCCTCCACCCCCTAACCAATTTCACCCTGCAGAAAAGCCTCCTCTGCGAACCCATCCTCGACGCGCTGACTCCCATCCTGCTGAGGACTTACGGCTCATCGGATACAGGCAGCAGAGCTGGTCTGTGCCGTTGCGTGTTCGTTCAGCTTAACTATTTCCTCGTTAATCAGTTTCTACGTGATCACGCGTC